GCCGAAGAGTTCGTTTTTTGTGTTTCCCTGCCGACTAATAACCTCGGCTACGGCAGTGCAACTCTCATGTCGCCTCAAGTACGGTTCCGTAGGGAATTACAAATCACGACCCCTCCCCGACTTTTAGTGTAACTTCCACCTCCTGCGGCGGATAAGACCGACGTCAAACCCTAGATTTTGTCTGTCTGTGTCGCCATGTCGCCATCCACGAACAGCAGTTGGAGAGTCACAATAAAGAGGGTCCGCTTCGCCACCAAGAAAAAAGTTTTTTTTTTCGATTCTTCTACAAGCTGGATATGATGCTACGATGTATCGGGTTTAGCTGTGGTTGAGCTTGAGGGATAGGGTCTACGGCAGCATATTCTATGCGAGGAGTTAACGCCTTCCTCGCGTAACGATGCGCATCTCCCACGACAAGCAGCATGAAGTACGTCATCATGACGCTATTTCTTGTGGCTACAAGTTCAACGTCGCCCGGGCGTTAGTGTTCTTGCCGGAGAAAGAGACTAAACTTCTACGACGTACCAGTCCGTGTACCCGGCTACTGCATATGAGGTAATGGGCGTTTGCACCGATAGCTTTCCGAAACAAACCTATCGTTGAACATCCTCGTCGTCGTGGACTAACATTATTAGCTGTGAATATTGATGGTGCGATACATGCCATGCATAAGAACAAGGAGCACCCTCCATACTCCAGTAAGTTATTGTAGTACAGTAGTTGAATTGAAACCTCTCAATACCCATCCATGAAGAAGTCGTTTTATATACTAATACTTCATAAGTGCTGCATAACAATCCATGGCGAACCCAGCAATTCCGTTGTTGTTGTCTTCACAATTAATTACAAAACCGTTCGTTCTGTTCTCTCTACCCAGTACCTTCTTCGTCTGTCCGTACAAATATATTTATAGTCTGACACTTGACGCGGTCGATTCCCGCCGTGGTCACAGGCTAACTTACCCAAAACACTTAGCGTCAGACAGGCAACGCGACGATACTCGTCGGGTTGCTATCACAATGTGTGTAGCCTATGAATGTAAACTACTGCGGTAATGTACTGCTCTAGTCTACTATGCCATTGTGTGTTACTGCCTACAAATAGCTGGGCCAACGGGTTTGTCGCATGACATATGATAGCAAATGCATAGAAGAGCATCGGAACGGTTAAAATATGAAGACTGTATACAGCATCTACAGCAGTACTCAAGGTGTGATGTGCATGCGGACAGCAGACTACTGCTGTAGCGGAGGTTGTGCCACCGGATGGAGGGGGTCCGTTGTTGCGCTGATGATGTGGGTATTACTGCTGTAGACAAAGTCTTTTCCCCGCTGTATTTAGTACTCCTAGTACGCAGGGAATCTTATTCTTGTTCTCCCATAGCTGAAAAACGTCGGGACTAGGCTACGATATATATTGAAAGTACGATATTTTGTTCAAATGTGTGATATGTAGCCATGTGCGATACTGTGCCATTCCTGCAGTTGTGTACATGCACGCCTTCTGTACATAGAATACTTGGAATACTCGTTGTTCTGTGCGAAGGCCGCCGTCGTCCCGAACACTCTGTTTGAGCGAGAATCGACCCCTCGCTGGTGCGGATGGCCTGGGATGGGATACCTGTAATAGTTGGAGAGATGGCACCGGGGTGCAATAAAAAACCGAAGAATAAACATTGAAAAATTCGAAAGCACCCGGTGCCATCTCTCCGACTATTACGGTTGTAGTTCCTTCGTGTTCCCCTGGCAACAACGGATGTATGTGTTGGCAAGGGCTCATCATTGTCCTGGGCGGCCTCACGCCCATATGCACACAGTAGTGGTGGACCAAGTTTTTCCGCCCCCCTGTCTTGCCACATGCCCTGCTGTTTACATAAGGTTAGCTTTGGGTGAGCGACCAAAACCTCGAGTGGAACCACAGCACCCCGACCATAAGCAGCGAACCCGGCAATATTATCCTGCCGTGAACAGCGACCACAATCCTTTCAGAGTACGTACAAGGTTCCTGCGGGAGTTAGGTGGCTTGCCTCCCGGGGGCGACGCGGATGGGCAATCAATGTCATTGCTGTCGTATGGCTGCATCTCAACGTCATGGCGTTCGGTAGTGCCGGTTTAGCGTGCAACCTGCATAACTTTTTGCCTGGAATTGCATCGTGTGCGGGGTATCTTGTTTCTCCCGCCGTGACTTTTCGCTTGTGCGCGAGAGTGTGCTTTTAGGCTAGTGGCTTGTGTGCTGCAGGTCCTACTGTTGTAATCCGCTACGTTTGATGTGTGATCGTGTTTCCCATGGATGGTTCGTGGGACTGTTACACGCAAACAACGGATCAAAGACGCGCTCAACGTGCCCAAGAACGGTCACGGACATAGGGCTGCATACCACATATTTGAATTTTTGAATTTTAATTTTTCGATTTTTCGGAATTGAAATTTGTATGACCGCTGTTGCGAGAGGACTTCTAAGACGCGTGGTGTGTTCCCATGAGCATCATCAATCAAGAGCCTTGGTCCCCTCTACGGCTATGAAAAACCGCTAATTACATCATTTGTGGTTGACATGCTGTGCTGTGTTTGCGGCACACGCGGGACTGCACAAGAAAGAGGACCTCTGTGCTGTAGTTGGCTGGTTGAAAAGACACTCCGTCGCCACTTATCGAATTCCAACGGATGCCAATGCTGTTGGAATGTTCGTGGGGGCATTTGTTCCCCTTGATCCAGTTGCAATGTACCGTGTGTGTTGAGCTCCAGCGCCCAGCGGGTCTTTCAATATCGTGTATGTCCTCAACGGACGAACAACGAGCAAAACTCCAGAGAAAAAAGAACACAACCAAGTCGAAATGCTACGTATGCTTATCGTCCATTGCTTTGGACCAATTCGTTACGAATGCATTTGCTAAATACCATTCGAAGGTAGGACCGTTGGGGAACGAATAGTCCATGTGCTCCCGCGCCGACCGATGTAAGTCAAAGGCTGTCTTTGGAATAGCCGCCGCACCTGCACCAGAACGATGAACGGCACGTTTCGACGGGGACACCCTCGATCGTCCGTCGCTGGAGACTCTGCCCCCGTTGCGGCTGCCGCGGCCGCTGCCTTGGCGTTGTGTTGTGCACACGTGGTTGTCGTGTGTGTGCGGCTGCTTTTGCATGCGTCTTACGGAAGTGTCCCAGCGCTGCTGGTGCTATTTGAACGGAAAAGTTATAAAACCAAACACCCAAGTGACCACACAGAGAGAACACAGCTACTGCAATCACACGGTTGTCTGCTGCGAACGTGCCCTGTCGTTGTTTGAGTGTTGTATGTGTCGGTCGAACCCGAATTTGGAGTCAGGTGTTGATTTGTTACGGCGAAGGTATCATCCGGATGTCATGCTACTGTTCAGTTTAGACACGCGTGGTGGGCTAGCCAAACTCAGGGCCGTTGCCTGTCTGTTAAATGCTTTGCAGCTTTGGTAGATATGACGACACATATCTAGACATGTATGAAGCATAAGAAGGATGCTTGTGGTTAGATCCGTTGGGTGTTTGAAGGTGCTGAGCAGAGGTCGGAACCGTTTTAAGGGCGCGGGGGGGGGATCGCAGTACCTCCTCCTAGAATATCCAGGAAACTCCTGGAAACGTCAGCATATCTCAGTTTTTCATTTTCAAAGCCATAAATCCAGCGCGAAACTACCATCGCAAACTAACCGTCCACAGCGGTCGCCTGTGTACAATGTTAGTGTCTTCCTTGAGATCAACATGGAGCAAACATACCCCGATCACATATGCACTCCAGATCGCCATGGGCAAGATCACGTACGTCCTACCGATCGCAAGGGACATACCCTTGGAAAGAGTTACGTAGCTCGTCTGATCGGTCCTCCTTGTAGGTGTGAACTCTTCCGAGGGCTACACCACCGTGGTCCACGAACACGTTTGCGTAACCGTGTTTACTGCACCAACTCACTAGTCACTACAACCCATACGCGCTTTCTTGTCGTCGAAATACGTTCATGTGTTATTTTTGCAGCCGACCGGTTAGGTGGACGGATCTTCACACATGAGGAGTCTCGATCTCATCACCATCCGTCGCCACATAGCAGCTGCGAGGAAGGTGTAACCACCGCCACCAACGCCTGTGGTGGCGTCCCCAGCCGACCCCTAGAGCTCGGAGCGCAGTGGTTGCATGGCACGGTCGGGAACCCGCTGTTCGACTTCTGCGTAGAGGAGGGGATTTTCGACTCTCAAGGTGAGGAGAAGAGAAACAACTACTCAGGTCACTTCCCCCTCCCCCGGCTTGGCACTATTGGCGTTGTTAGGGCTTTGCCCCGCGTTTGCTCCTATTATCCGCACGTGACTGAGTTGTCGCGTTTAACTTGTGATCCAGAAGACCCACGCGGGGTTTATTTACGTCCCACCCAATGATTGTAGTAGCGTAGAATGCGGTAGCAGGCGGTTATGCCGGTGTACGGATTCGTATGAGAGTCGGGAAGAACGCACTTTCCACATCTTTCTGTTGAATTTTGCTGTCACGTTCTTTCTTGCATGATGAGGTATTTTTTTCGGGAACGAGAATAGTTTCTGGATTGGTGGTGAGTGCCGTGATTGTTGGCTTCTTTGAGGTGGCATGTGGCCAACGACGGTAGCCTAACGCCCATCGAAGCGAGAGTGTGGTCTTCCTGCTGTTCTCCTCACATTGCTCCTGCCCTACTCCGGCCCAAACCCTTAAATGTCGTTCCCAATGACATTAACTGACTCATTTAGTTCCTTATAACCAAGCCGGCGTTCACATTTCCAGTGCAAAGCTTCTTACTGACTTGTCGATAAAATATCCTCCACAGCCGTTATAACCAACGTCTGGATCATCCTTGTGAAACGTAGCTTGGGCCGGCGAAACTTATCTCTCCGTGCCGGCATCGTAGGGATGCGAGGTCAATGATCTAACGACCACGGCATGCGTTTACATGAGTACACCCACCCCCACTCGTCGACGTCCTTGGGGCGCCTTTTCAGAGGGAAGGATAGAGCTCGCCATGGCCAAGAGGGCCTACGCTGCTAGAGACGTCCAGGCACGAAGGCCGGATGGCACCCAGGTGAGAAAGAAACAACGCCCTTTTTTCCGTGGACTTCCGTTGATCTACCAACAACGACGAGGTGCGTGTTTCGTGTTTTCTCCAACAGAAAGTATGTCGTGGCCGGGTGTGTGTACAATAGTGCCGCTTTTAATTGTTTTGTGTTTGTCTCGCGAGGTATTGACTCACTCGCTATCTTCGAAAAGAGAGCCCGCCGTGACTTGATTTGTCGACACGCGCATGTAACGTTGGTGGCGTACGATATCAGACCACCTGGACCGATTTCTCAAGCTCGATTGCTTTTGTTGTCATTTTCGGAACCGCTTCTGTTTTTACTGCAGGGTTATCGAGATTTAGGAATCGGTCCAGGGGGTGTGTTATCTTACTGAACCTACGGGTGTGTGCACCATCATGTTGGCTTGGAGCGATGAGGTATCGACACCCATGTCTCGACGAGAGTCTGGCAAACCCGATGCGCCAGCAGTGTTGGCAACGTAGCCCTAGTGCACGTTCGATGTCGATGGCATACGTACCGACCTTGGCGGCCCTACCTCACCCTCCTTCAAGTATCCGGAAGTATGATAGTTTACGACCCCTTCGGTCCTCTCGAGGACGAGCGGCCAATGGCCTAACAACTAGGGCATGCAAAACATGAGCACGCCTTCCCCCAATGCACGCATGCATTACTTGTTGTTGCTCCATTCGCCACACGGATTGTCGGGACAAGGTGTCGCGGCGGGAGTTCGTGCGGCATTCGGAAGCGTGGTCCCAAGCCGTTCTCGAGGCGGAAACTCTGTACGCGGCTTCTCTCGCCGCGGAAGCGGAGACGGCAGCCGAGGGAGGCAATGCTGAGGATCAGCAGCAGCAGCAGCGGCAGAATCTCGACCCCAAAAGGTTGGAGGCAGCAGCAACGATAACGGTACCGAATAGCCCCCGACAAGACCCTCATGTGAAGGGCATCAGCGATAATGTCAACAATGGAGGCAGCACCCCCAACGTTGTCATGAGCGCTGACAGCCGGCGGGAAGACCGTGTCGGCGCATTTTTGCATCTAAGAGTGCGCGAGATCCTTCGCGCGGGCGGCGGTAGCAGCGGCGGCTGCGGCATCGACGAAGACATTTTGGGGTACCTGGTGAGAAAGCAGCACGCTGTCGAGGGCTGCGATGACCTGGATGTCGTGTCGGTCGCAGGGTACGGCATGTACGAGGAGCTCGAGGGCGGGGACGTTAGAGTCCCCGGCGGGTTTTCCAGGGTGGTGGAGGCGTTGGCGGCGAAGGTGGGCTTCGTTTGACAGCACAGACTGGACCGTCATGACTTAGCAGTGTTGCCGAACCCTAACCCTAACCCTAACCCAAGATAAAAGGCACTACAACGGTGTTGTGTCGCGCGTCACAAACGGGAGATGACAGAGGGGCGAGGACCGCCGTGTCTGTAAAAACATGTCACCAGGCTGGTGGACGCTTTGGCGGCGAAGGCGGGTAATACAGTAGCGTCCGTGTGACAGCACAGACTGGACTGTTATCTCTTAGTGGTGTTCCTGAACACTAAGCCTAAGCCTAACCCAAGTTAGGCAATAAAACAGTGTTAAGTGTGTTGCGTCGCGCGTCCCAAACGAGAGGCGGCCGAGGGGTGAGGACCGGCGGGACGTTGAAATCATGCCACCTCATGCTGTTCGAATCAGGGTGGTGGACGCTTCGGTGGCGAACATACACCGAAGCCGGGTAGTACAATAGCGTTAGTATGATAGCACTGACTGGGCAGTGATCGCTTAGCGTTGTTCCCGAACCCCAACCCTATCCAAAGGTAGGCACTATTTTAGCGTAGCTAACGTGGACCGCGATGAGTTTAGCGGTTTTTGACAGGCCCAGAGAGTGGTCTCCACACACTGCATGTAGCGTGTAAAGATGAAGAGAGCTTTCGTCCAACCTTTCCCACCGGCTGGACGATCGATCTTAGGGTTTGTGGTGTTGCAGAAACAAAGGAAAATAATCTTTACCCGTAAACACAAGTCCGGGATGAAGTCCCCCCGCGCCGGTATTGTTCCTACCGTCTGTCTGGGCACCTGCATGTTGACACATGGCCTGTGGAAGCAAATATTTGTATTTGATTTTGAGGGTTGACAAGATACCGTAGATTCTAAGGGTGAATTCGTAGGCTTTTAGACACGAAAGCTGGAGCTGTTGGAATGTTTCGGTTGGCTCTCCATGATGACTATAGGACGACGTCGGCCTCCACCCAACGACGTCAAGTTTCTGAACGACCAGCAATGGACGGCACAAGCTTGGCGAAAAGCGTGTGTCGCTACCAGTTCTCGCATGCGGTACCTCTGGCGACGATATCATTTCGTTGCAACTTCTGAGGCTGTCAAAGTACACACGCTGGTGTGATACTCTATTTCCGTCTCTCAACCCCCGTCCCCTACCCGCCACGCCGAAGATATCGCCGGAGCGGATAAGGTTGCAGTCTCCTGTTACGCGGGTGCAGTGGGCCTCACAAGGACAACAAGAAGAGCGGCGAGAGTCCCCCTTCGCCGAGAGCCACCCGTGTGTTGTGGAGTACACCACTAGGAGGCATTCGTCAGGCGGGATAGATGTCGGGGGGGAGCAAGACCACTCAGACCTGGTTTCCACGATGAGGATCAGGTGCAGGCGTGTCTTGGTCACGGTGGGCCTCGGCGTACTCAAGGTAATGGAACACTTTGTAACCGTTTCACGCCGATCCCCCCGAAATTCTTGTCGACCGTGCGTCGTGCTGGTTGCTGCTCTGATAGGTTTGTTGGTAGCCTCATTGGCGGCTTTCTTGTGCTTTTGGGGCTGCCATTGAATCGCAGGCGTCAGCTAGATGAGTGGTTTCCATTTCAGTACGACTTGCCGTCGACCACAGAGTGGTATGGGCGATATGTATCTTCGACCCGCTGGGCATCGTGTGTGTTGTCATACTAAACTAAGATGACACCGTGAGGGGTGACGTTAAACATGCTTTTGCACGGTTTGGGTGGAAATGGAGCGCCTTTGGGGGGCTCTTGGCGTGTGGAGTGGTGTTGTGTTTCCTCTCGTGAATTCGTCCATGCGCCGGCCACGTAGCAATGGGCAGTCGCTACAACGCGGTGTTAACACACCACCTGGGTCACCCCACTTTTGGGCTTAGAACAGGGGCGTACAGGTATGCTCATATACAAGAACAGCAACACATGACAACAGCGGCAGCCGCAGCGCCAACTGCAACGAATAGGGATAGGGAGGTCCAGTAAATCCACACCTTGTGTGTGGCCATTGTCCTTTTAAGGCGGAAACCCCTCATTTCGTTAACATCTGTTTTGTCTGTTTTCCTTTCGTTCGGATGAGCTGCGGACGTGCAATGAGAACCATTTTGTTTTCGAAAACAGTGTGTTGTCCAGGACGAACGAGCATGAACGGAGCTATTAGGCTCGCTCAAGCGGGCCTACGTGCTGTCTGAGCAATGTGTACAGAAAATACATCACGTGGTAACATGGGCAGGAACACCTTCTCATGCATTCTCGTTCGTATTTCCTTTCTACACCATGTCATTGCTTTTGAGGGTGGCGCTTGGTCCACACAAGACCTTGGCTAATCATCGGTTGATCCTCCCCGCCGTGTTTGCTTTTTATCGCAGGACGGCACGGCCCTGACGTTTTCCCCACCTCTACCCCAGGCAAAGCTGGCGGCCATCCGCCGCGTAGGATTCGGGACAGCCGACAAGTTTTTCGTGAGGTAAAACCTAAGTTTTTTCACTTTCACTCTAAACTTCTGCCTCTTGTCTACGACAGCAACCTCATGTAACCATGTACGTGAGATTTGTCCTCGACGGGGTATCTGTTTGATGGTGGGAGGCGAGGCTGCTGTTGTTTAGCGGTAATAGTTGGAAGCGCTGACGTTGTCGATGTAGCGCGTCGTGCAAGCAACGCGAGCGGGTGTAGCAGGAGAGGTTTCGCATGAGACACTTGTTTGTGTTGGTTCAAGGTAAGTGTCTAGAAGGGTCTTAGTGGTTTTTGTCGACCCTACGCAGTACCCCCATTTGCCGACGGCATTGCAGCGATCGTCTGCCCCTTGGAAAGATGCAGCCAAGTCGTTGCGTGTCACCCGGTTCATCTTGCTATCCCCAGATTGAGTTGTAGACTTCGCCCATAGGACCGCG